GAATCCTGGACATAAAAAAATTATTTTTAGAAACTAATATATATAATAAGTTTTAATTCTATGAAATATTGATAAACATGTAATACATAATTTAAATCATTAAATTTGTTTAGCTGTACGGTTACCCTTTATACCTTTCTTTCAAACTTCACAAAATTTGATGTCCTTATTTTTTAATTTATATGTGGTAAATATACTTTAAAAAAGAAGCAACATTTAGTATGTTTAACATTTAGTAAGTTTATGTTAAATGTACTAAATGTTAAATCTGCTTCTTGTCCAATATTAAACTCAGATTTAACTGCAGTGCAATAAAAACTTTGATAACTTGCTTAAAGAAATATACACTGACCCTGAAACCACAGATGACCTATGTTAAGTACACAATAATAATGACTTCTTTTGAAAAATATCAGATTTAAATGAAGACAGACCTTAATTATTTTTACAATATGAATTAAGCAATTTGATTTGAGATCTGAAGCTGACTAAAGATCAAGATGAACTACTAGCATCAACTACTAGCATCAGGATTAAAATAGAAAAACTTGTTGCAAAAAGGCGTTAGAATATCTCTTACAATATTGTAAATATTCACAAAATGATTTTTTTATCTTTTCAAATGGAAAATAAACTCTTTTAGTGTTGTGATAGACAATTTATTTCAATTCTTTTTATTTTTTTATTGATGCCTCAAAAACAAATGTCAAAGTGGTATTCTCACTTTGAAATTGGGATTCATGACCAAGACATTGTTATTACAAAAAAAAACTATGACCTAAGTAAGATTATTTTACTGTTGGACTAAAGAATGTTGCTAATCATCTACTTGTTTAAATAAATAAGATTATATTTTTCCTTTTACAAATAAAATTAGACATCACTAAACAATTTGTAAAAGCACTTGACTAAAGATAAGGATGCAATGAACTTTTTGAAAACAAAATTTTCCAAATTGAGTACTGCAAAAGTAACAAAAGGTATTTTTATGGCAGCTGCTTCTCGACCAGCAATTTGATAACACTCTGACACCATTTCAAAAAATAGCACGGTTATCTTTTTAAAATGTTTACAATGGTTTTCTTTGACAACATAAGGCAGTAAAACTTGAATTTCTAATCAAGAATATGATGAACAACTTAGGTTGTAATGTGTCACTCTATAAACTTCACTTTATATGTTCTCATACTAATTTTTCCCTGAAAACATGTGTGATGTATCTGATGAGCATAGTGAATAATTTCATCAAATTGAGTACTGCAAAAGTAACAAAAGGTATTTTTATGGCAGCTGCTTCTCGACCAGCAATTTGATAACACTCTGACACCATTTCAAAAAATAGCACGGTTATCTTTTTAAAATGTTTACAATGGTTTTCTTTGACAACATAAGGCAGTAAAACTTGAATTTCTAATCAAGAATATGATGAACAACTTAGGTTGTAATGTGTCACTCTATAAACTTCACTTTATATGTTCTCATACTAATTTTTCCCTGAAAACATGTGTGATGTATCTGATGAGCATAGTGAATAATTTCATCAAAAAACCAGTGCTATGGAATGTGGTTATAAAAAAATAGCTTTATTACTTGCTAACCATTGCTAGACTATAGTGTGTGATTCAAAGTCTTCTCACATAAGGTCCAGTGTGGTGAATCATTTTTGAGATTGTACAAGCAAGACTAGTTTACATATTTAACAATACTTATTTCTTTCACTTTTATATATAGTTAGATTTTTGCCAACATTAAAACCTAATAAATGCATTTGTAAACATAACTATTTTTTTTGTGTATTTAGAAGTGAGTAAAAGTTATCAAAGAAAAGCTTAATAACGTTTTGGGATAGAGGAAACCAAGAGTTTTAAGCAAAAAATAACTTTTAAAATAACTCAAAAAAATCTTTAAAAACATAATTTTAAACAAATTCTCTATATATAAACTGATTCAAAATTTCACTTGAAATATTTTGACTTGTTTTATAGAAAATGTTATTTTATTTTACTGGTAAAATGTGCAAAAAAAAAGAGCTTTACTTATAAAATGTGTGTTAGAAAAACTTTGCTTATAAAAAGTGTGCTGTAGAAGCAATCCACTTATAAAATATGCATTTTGGAAAAATTTTTCTTTATATATCTGTGGCCATTGGTCAATTTATGATAAGTGCAAAATTAGTCATTTTAAGATAAGTATGCAGTTTTGTTATATTTCATTAGATCTTTCATTTGGTCAAACTAATAATACTGTAGTTTAAAAAAAAAAAAATATTTTTATGAAAAATAATTTATGTATGGCAATAAATATTTTTAAATTTGATTTGTTGTCGATTTATGGCAACAAATCAAATTTTCGAACTCTTCTCCTGCAAAATGTCATGTTTGCACTATCATAAATTAACCAATGGCCAAAGATATGTGTTTATGTCTTTTTTATGAATAAAATAATTTATTAATTGTAAAAAAATAATTGAAACTGGAAAACTAAAAAGTAAATGAAACTAGAATAGAACCAAGTAAAGTATGATGCAATGAGACTACACAAAATTTAGAAAGAACTTTAAAACAAGATTATAACAGATTGAAAAAAACCTTTTTTTGAAAAATTGTGACAACCTTTAAAGTTTAATGAAACATTTAAAAACTCATTGTATAGTAGTGCATTTGAGACTTTATGTCTCTGAATGGATATATATATATATATATATATATATATATATATATATATATATATATATATATATATATATATATATATATATATATATATATATATATATATATTTAACAAATAAATATATATTATTGTTTTTAGAATCCTTGTAATTTTTGGAAATGAAACAAAAACAGGAGTTACATCTCTTAACAGAAGCATTACTCGATTTCTCTTCAGACATATCCTCAGATGGTAAATAATAATGATACTTATACCAAAAAATACAATATATCTAAAATGAGAAAAATGTTCCTAACTCTTTTTCCATTTTGACTCCTTAACACCATACTATTTTATTGTCCAAGGATTGCATCATTAATAAACTATTCTTTGTTATTGTGTTAAACTGAACCAAAATAAAGCCACAACTAGCACTGCCATACCTGCCCTAGCAACAATAACTATTAGTTCCCCTAGTCATAGATTTTGATGACAAACTACAAATATGTTGATAGAACCAAGAGTGATCAGTTGCAAAATGTTGTTTCTGGCTGTGAAAATAACAAATTAGTAGGCATCCTAAAGATAGCTTCTAATTGTTTGATAAGGTAGAAAGTTGCAGAGTTTATTCACCAGTGATCTGGCATGAAGTAGCATTTTTTAATGCAATCAATACTGGAATCTATGTTGGTGCAAATACTGTTATACAAAAACCAATACATCAACAACTTTCTTTTTTGCCTGAAACATCACTTTTTGAAATCTGAGTAATGTTTTGACACATTGCTTAAATTCTAATGTAAGCAATTAAACTAAAAGATAAAAATACTTGCGGAGTAAAAAAAAAACAATATTAGAATTAAAAAATGCATAATTAGTCATACATTTTTTAAAATAAAAATATTTACCACAGAGTGTTCCAACATAATGAAGTTATCTTTTTTATTTGACATCGCAATATTAAAGTTTTTGTATTTGTTTGCTATAAAAAAGTATATAGTCTATGAAGATAGTGTAATTATATTGTATTTATTTATTATGTATTTAATATATTAATATTAACATGTATTTTTATTATTATTATTTATTTATGTACTTTAAATACTTTTAAAGTATTTTTATTTTGTAAATAAAGGTATAGTTATTGCATAAAATTATATAATATAAGTACTTATATGTATAATTATATGTATAAGTACTTTTTCAGTAAAGTTTAATTATATATATAAGTACTTTTTCAGTAATGTATTTATTTTTATATTCTCAACACAATTTTGGATATATTTAGTACTTTTCAAAGTTTTCGAAATGCAACATACTTTTAGCAGAAGCATATATAAAATATAAATCTGGCAGGCTAGTAAACTGATTGAGTTGTGAAAAGTTTTGATATTAGAAGTATAGTTGATTATATATATAAAAAACAATAAAGTCAGAAGGTTTTAATACAGATTTACATTCCAGCAAGGTTCGGATAAAGATAGCATGCTGCCTGCTACTTTGAAATAACCAAATATATTGACAAAAAAAAAAAAAAAAAAAGTATTAATCAGGTGTAAAAGCTGTCCAAATAAAATTGCTTGACTAAAAACACTTTATTTTAAACCAGTGGAGCTAGAAGTAATATAAGAAAAAAAATGTAAAAATTTATGTGCTTTATAAAAATCAAGAGGAACATAACTGTTTACATTTTTTTTATGTGTTTGAAAAATATCCTATTGTTAAAAATCCATTCTTTGTTATTACTACAACTGTCCCATCATTTTCTCTACTTAAACATCTATTATCTAAAGGAGCCATAACTGCTGTTCTGAACTGAAATTGATTGTCAGACCTAATTTTCAAGCGATGAGTAACATTTTTTCCACTTAATCACCTATTATCTAAAGAAGCCATAATTGCTGTTCTGAACTGAAATTGATTTTCAGACATAATTTGCAAGCAATGAGTAACAATATACTAACATTTATTTTAGATTCAGATTTTTATGTGTTGTGGAGAACACCAGCAGAGATATTCTATATTATTCTGACTATTAAAATTAAGTGGTATTGCTATTTGCAAAGTTTGGTTAGATTTAGTCAGAATTTTTAATTTAAAAAAGTATTAATAAAAAAAACTCTAAAAGTAGTCACTACAGAGTTTCTACTTCCTATTTCTTGTTTTGAAAAGTTCCCTTTTAAAGTAAGTTTTTACTCATGAAAATTAAAATGTTGTAGTTTCATATACAACCATGACTTCTGATGTTTATTTTATTCAATAAATGAAGTAGTTTAGGTTTTGCACACCACTGCACTAAAGTCAAAAAATATTATTTTTTTAAAAGTCATTAAGCAAGTTAGACCAAT